TTTTAAATATTTCTTATATCTTATTTAAAAAATTCTAAATAAAAAATTATGAAAATGAAAAGAAAATAGCAGGTGAAGATGCAACTACTTGATTTTTTATTTTCTATTTCTTGATTTTATATGAATAGCGAATGTAAAATATTTAATTAAGTTGATAAAATATAAAAAATATTAATAATTTGATTTTTTTATTATAAATTTATTTATTTATATTTTTAATAATGTAATATATATTATTTTTTTTATTATATTATATAGATAAATAGACTGAATTATCAAATTTAACAATTTTTTATGTCTAAGTCTATCTTTGTTAAATAAATAATCTTTTTTAAAAGTATAAATCTAGTCACTTTATTAAATAGGTTAGGTCATACTAAACTTTAAACAAACCAGACCATAGACTCTTATGTAAGACATGAATCATTACTATACCTAATTATAAGCAAAAGCAAAAAAATGCATGCATTTTTTGTTCTTAAATATAAGTATATTTCAACCACTTTTGACTTATTTAATGATTCTCTCTTTAGAATATCCTTCCTTTAATGCATTACTTCTTTTGACATTCATTACAAAGACAAATAAAGTAAGAATATTATGAAATTAGTTAAGTTTAATGTAAATAATTATTGTTCTTAATATACTTAAAATCAGTTATTTTTATTTACAATAAAGATAAGATGGAGTATAAATTTATAAGAATAACTAACAACACATTCTTTAACAAAATCTTCTTAATATACTTTCTTATTAAAATATATTAAAAATTATAAAATCATGAGAGAAAATCATTAAATAGAATGTGAGACTCACTAACTTTTATATTTTTTTTAATGAATTTCAATCGATTAAATAAAGTGTCTACAAAATAGTTTGTTTCTAACATTTCTCTAAATTTAATAATTTATAGGTGTGTTCCATTCAAAATGTGTTAAAAAAGACATTTTTTTCTCCTAATTCTTTTAAACAATATTCGGTCCTAATTATATAGGACAAATCAACAATTAATTCTACAATAAATTCAATTTGTTTTATTCCAAATATATCATTTATTTTAAGTAATTATTATATTTAATACTAGTTACAAGTGAATATGTAACACTCTAGTTTTCATACTTTTATTAAGGGTGATTTAGTAATTTTCATAAAATTTATTAAGGGTAATTTAGTAGCCTAGAACGGGTCATTCCCAAACTGGAATGGGTCGTTTCAAACTACTAAAAAAAGACCTATTTTTGGTAGCCCAGAACGGGCCGTTCCAAACCACCAAAATAGCTTATAACCCTAGTTGGGAACGGGCTATTCCAAAGTTTGGAACGGGCCGTTCCAAATATTGACGTTGTGAGTTAAAACTCATCTTCGGAATGGGCCGTTCTGGTTTGAGAACGGGTCTTTCCATATGTGAATTTTTCATATAATGAAAGGATCCAGAACGGACCATTCCAGATCTAAAACGGGTCGTTCTTGCCACTCCTGAAATCTATAAATAGAGCATTCTGGCACTGTTTCTAAACACACTCTCTGGAGACCAAGGAGAACCAAGAGAAGGAGATCAACTAGATTCCACTCTAGCTTCGCCTTCTGCTTATCCAGGTAAGGGGGGAGTGAGAAACATCGCTCGGGAGTGTGGGAATAATTGTTGGGTAGTTGGATTGACCCTCAATCCCTTGCTTGATGCATGCTTCTAGGAACAGACAAAATATGAATGTTTTCTGTTTTGCCTTCTAATTGTTCTATTGTGTTCCTTGTTGGATGTGATGTATGAATATGTGATTAATTTTAAAAGTAAACAAGTTTTGATATGAATTAAAGTACTCTATTGGTTCCTGAGAGAATCCTATGAGAAACAGACCAAATATGAATGTTTTTTGTTTTTCCTTTTAAATGTTCTATTGTGTTCCTTGTGTGATGTAGAGTGTAAATATGTATTTGATTTCAAAATTAGATAAGTTTTGATATGAATTAGAGTGCTCTATGGGTACCTGTACGGAATCCTATGAAGAACAATTATGAATATGACTATGTAAAATATGATTTTCAAGTTGTCGTTCAATTTTAACAAAATTTGATATACAAATGTAAAGTAATATGAACTTTTAATCTAACGGTTAAATTTACAAAATTCACAGTTAATAAAAAGTTATTAAGCAGTGTAATACTTAGTAAAAATTACACCGGTATTATTATAACTCTCCTCTCTCTATATATATAACATGTTTTCTTATTTTATTTTGAATATTTTAATAAATTAGTTTTCACTATTAATAATAATGATCTGGTTTAATGTGATGATTAGGCCAGATCGCCACAACCGGTTATCATTTTACCAATTGATCTTTCTGTTTTCAACTCTGGATTGCGCTGCAGTGGTAAGCCATGCATTGAAAAAGGCAGAATCAAAAACAGAAGAGCAGCATCTGATGCGGAATCTTTTGAGGGGTTGGTTCAAATCACGGGAGAGGATAAATGTAGAGACAGACTGAACAAAGCGAAAACGGGCTTTATCGTTTGAAGAGTAGTTCCAGCAGGTGAAGTCGAGAGCAGGAACTGAACGCCAAAGGGGTTTCCATCTCTTGGATAGAACACTTGTGGCAACTACTTCTTCGGTTGGAACGAAAGAGAGAATGTGGCATAGGACATCGTCCGGCAAAATGTTGATTCTGTTACCCATATGATGACTTTAGAAAGCTTATACCAAACACGAAAATAATGTTTCGAAATATAACAGGGAATGCAAGTATTTTATACACTCAACAAAGTGATCCTAAGCGTCGAAACTCGTTTCAGAGGTTTATGTTTGCATTGAAGTTGATGCACTTTCCATTGAAAAGCCATACGTCACGAATATGAAACGGCTCATGTTGACTGTTGAATTCTATGAATACATTATGTATTAAATAAATATATATATTTAATGTATTAAAAATAGCAAAAATGTTTAATGCATTTTTCATCTAATAAATGTGAAGATTATTAAAATATGTTATAAGTAGGGTTTTCCACGTGAATGGATTAAATTTTTCTTGAGGGGAACGTGAATGGATTAAATAAAAACATTAATTATAGAATTAGTGTATAAGTAGTTTCATATATATATATAAAAATCCACGTAGTCATTCTCCATTTTTTAAATATGCTTTTATTAAAATAAAATATTCTTTCTCTTGACACTAAAAGTCGATAATGTCATGTTTATTTTTATTTAATTAAAAAATTGACATAAACAATGACATTGTCTGTTTTGTTTTGTTTTTTTTTTTTAGATTTTAAATCAATTACGATATTGTCTGTTTTAAATATTAAAGTAGATACTAATGTAGTTCTCTACAATGTTTTAAAAATTGGGCTAGTGATTAAATCGGCTCGAGTACTTAGTCATGAAAACAAAATTTAAACCAATGGATTACTAATTGAGTTATGTGATTTTGAGTCTCTTAAATTTTTTTTTTAAATATTCATATATATATATATATATGTATATATATATAAAAGGAGGGTTTAAATGACACCGGTATAACTTTTATTAAGTGTTATATCACTCCATAATTTTATATTAAATGTGAATTTTGTAAATCTAACCATTAGATTGAAAAAAAATTTCTCTTAGATCATATATACAAAATTTTATATTAATCCAAGATGATGTGATACTTCATTCTGATAAAACAAAATTGAAGTAATATATTTATTTTAAAATATATTAAAATATGAACACTTTAATTACCCTCAAGTTGTTCAATTTTAACAAAATTTGATATACACATATAAAGTGATATGAACTTTAAATCTAACGGTTGGATTTATAAAATTCACATTTAATATAAAGTTATTGAGCAGTGTAACACTTAGTAAAAGTTACACCGGTGTCGTTTGAACCATCCTATATATATATATATATATATAAATTTCAATAAAATTATACCATATCTTAAATAAATTCTTTAAAAATTGTAATCATATTAGAATAATGAAATTATAACTTGATTTGAATCAAATAAAATTATATCTAATATAATATATAATTTTAAATTAAAAATAATATAATATATATAAATTATTTAAATAAATTAATAACAATAAAATATGT